CCCTTGTTTTGCCTCACAGCCAGGCCCACGCGGCGGCGCCAGCTGGGGTGGCCCGGGGCGCGGAGCCTGGGCGAGAGGCTATCGCAGGTGCTCTCGGCAGGAAACGGGGGAGAGGGAGGAGCGCGCGGGAGGAGGAGGAGCGCGCGGGAGAAGGAGGAGGAGGAGGAGGAGGAGGAGGAGGAGGGAAGTCGCAGGGAGGAGGAGGAGGAGGAGGAGGAGGAGGAGGAGGAGTTTGAGACTCGGGTAGGGAACGTGCCCCCACTCCAATCGGTGGATTGACCCAGAGCAGCCTGGTCAGAGAGCAGAATCAAGGTAAGTGCAGGGCGTTAGCGCTGCGAACACGGATGGGCAGACAGGAAGCTTGGGATAGATCACCTCCCCCCTAGCAGAATCCCAACCGCCCATACTTCGATACTCCCTTGAACTCCCCCTCGGCCTGGCATTGAGGAGAATGTGGGAGCGATCCCAGCATGGTGCAAGTCCGTTGGCCCTCATGGATTATCATCAACACTTGGGGGGGGCTTGCACTACCATAGGGATGCACGAGTCGAAGTCAAAGCATCGAACGGAGTCGCCTGCCCTATCCAAGGTTCAGAAATTTAAGATGCACCTCCGGGAAACCAGCAGAAGGGCTGTCTGGTCGGCAGCTCTGACAGGGCCGAAGGACATCCCAGTATGAGAGCGACTTGCCTCTGGGTGACACTGCCGTACCCACTGGGTGCCCAAAGCTCTCGCTCTTCAGCTGAAGGGAGCCACGGAAGCAGGGAGGGAGAGGAAGGAGGAGGGAGGAGGGAGACCTGCCGCTCTGGAGTCCTGTCCACGACAGGCAGACTGAGGAGTGTCGCCCCATGAGCTCCCCCGAGAGTTTCAACGCGTTGACATACCCCGAAGCCAAGGACACGCTCGGTTGACGTAGGCAGCAATCTGACTCTTGCAGCCATCCTCAAGCTCCTCGTCGCAGAGTGGCGGCTTCGGCCGCCAGCAGCTATTGGAGCCCCCTGCGCCAGCCGCGCATGGCCCCAGGTGTTCCCAGCAGCCCGCGCCTCTCCCTGTTCGGTACGCTCGCGTACCAGTTAGAAGCAAAGTTCCACCAGGCGTGTCAGATGGAAAATCCGCCCTGCGGTATTACTGAGCAATCTGGATGATTATGCGGCTGGCGCCCCTGGAACCGCGCGTCGGTTCTGTTTTCCGCGGCGTCGTGCCCTGCTGCCGCCGTCTCGAGGCCCTCGAAGAACTCGGTCCTCAAGTAATTGTTACTCACTGATCGTGCCAATCCGTCTCTGCCCCTTTTGATCGCCTGTTGTTGTCGCTGGGCTCGCCCCGCAATGGGTGGCCGACGCGCTGCCTGGCACGCGGTCCATGTGGTCTCTGCATGACGCATGTTCGGGCCCAGTTCCCATTCGCAGTGGCGGGCCCTGTGCAATCCGCCGACCCCTCGTGGGCCCCCAGGCGCGCGATCCCCCCGCGCATCCCCCCCCGGGGCCCCGATCTGGCAATTTCACCCCCGCTCTGGCCGCAGACAACCCACGCCCGAACTCACCGCGGGGGGCGCGGGCGCCCCCTGGCCCCTGGAGCTCCACGCGGGCCCTCGAGGCTTCCCGCGAGGGCGAAAGGGCCCCAAATCGCCGAAAGGTCGTTCCACAACTCTCATAATGGACTCGAAACGGTCCAAGACGTTCGCGCGGCGACCCATGGGGCGCCCAAGCGGCTCCAGGGGAACGGCCCAAGACCCCAAAATCGCCAAATTCCCTTAAGACGAACTGTTTACATGAGATTCGCTCGCTGGCCTGTGACTGCGTCCCAAACAGCCCACAAGGCACCCGAGAAGGCTCTAGAACGGCCCGAGAGACCCCGAAGACGGCCACAGAAGCCGCCAAGACGGCCCAAGAGGCCCTATGACCAGTCGAAGAGATCTCCAAACGGCCCCTTCAGGGGCACAAGAGGTGGGGCCCGATCTGGAAACTCGAATCATCCGCCCCAAGAAGCCAGGAGGCCCTAAAGAGGCCCTCAAGAAGCCCCAGGAGGCCCCGACGAGGCCCCCAAGGGGTCCCAAGAGACCCACATGCGGCCCCAAGGAATCCAAAACGGCCCTCGAAGGCTTCGAAACTTCATCCAAGAGGCCCGCGAGAAGCCTCTCAAGAGCTCCCAGCGAACGCCGCGCATACCTCACGCCCACACCCTAGGCGAGGTGCCAGAATATGCCGAAGGCAAGTAGCTCGCGGAAGGACCCCAACAGTCCAACCCCTCACCGAAAGCATTCGGAGACATGGGCGGAAGCAGACCCTGGAGGACAGCGGTGAAGAGGGGGCCAGCAAGAGGACGATTGGCACAAAGGCAACGCGACTCGCGGGAAACGGTCCATGGAACCCGGAGCTTTCCCTGATGCGTGTATTTCATGTGGGGTCGTTGTCGGTCCCAGGGCCGAAGTAACTCATGCCCTGGGAGGCCGCCAGCGCCGAAACGAACTCAGGCCCCCTTTTCTTTAGGGGCTCTACGCTTCAGGGTGAGACAGAATGGAAGACAGGGAACGGCAGAGGTAACGCATAGCGTCGCGGACGATGTTCCGCGCTCTCTGCGGTTCGCGAGCGCAGGTAGCTCCCGGGAAGAGTCGGCCCACCGTCGGCCTCCAGGCGCGCCCCCCGGGAGCCCGAGACCGAAGACTCGCCAGCCCCTGGGCGGAGGCGAGCCAGGCATCACAAACCAGGAACGCAACATGATCCCCAAGACGCACCCAGGAAACCCCGAAGACGCGCCGACAGGTCCCCGAAACGAGCTCGAGGCGTTTTCAAAAGCTGGTCTCAACAGACCCTGCCCCCTCCCCAAGAAAAAATACAAGGGGTCGGCGGATGTGACGTAACCCTATAGAATCAAGCTCGTCGTCAACGTGTACAGCGCCAGTATGCAGTCTATGCAACTGGCATTCTTTTCGCAGAAATAAACCAATTTCTGGCTGCCCACCGTGCTGATCACCGTCAGCTTGTGCTCCTTTGCGTATTGCCTTACTCGTTGTCCCGCTCCGCCTGGTACTCGTTCGCGTGCTCGTCCAGGTCCCAGACTCTGCGATTCCGCAGCCTTTCCCTTCCAATTGATGTCAATACCATCGTCGCATGATAGTATATATATATATATATACATAGTGGGTTGTTTCGTTTTGGTGTTGGCCACGTATCCCGCCCATGAGAACCATATTCCGATCGGGCGTTGGTGTACTTTGCGCGCTTCTCCTCTCTTGCCTTGTGGTGGGCAGTAAAATCCCATCCCTACTATCACTTGATCGCGACGTTGAGCTGTCACTGCGAATCGTCGACCATATAGTTCTTGGGTGGTTCGCTCACGTCAAATATGTGTGTCCCTCGTAGCTTGCCCTGCAGACCAATCATTATATCCTTGTTAAATTGGTCAGCTCGCCTGTCCTCCATCCTGCGTCCACATGTATTGTACCTTCTTGTGTGCCCTGCCTGGGATGCTATTTATCGTCTCCATCTTGCCGTGCCCGTCAGGAGTATCGCGTCGAAGTTCTGCGTCCCCTCGATGATCTCGGCGACTCTGTCAGGCCTAGCGGACATGAGGTTGAAGAGGAGCACGGCGAAAGAGGCTGTCCATGCTGTCGCTGTCGTGTGGGCCTTCCGCTTACTTCTCTGTCCACGATATGCGAAATCGCATTCAGTCCTTGCGCGCTGCCTTGACAATTTCTTGGGCCCAGATGGCGGCTGGAGGAGGAGGAGGAGGAAGAGGAAGAGGCAAAGGAGGACAAATATGATGATGAGAAGGAGGCAAAGAAGGAGGAGGAGGCATAAGAACAAAAAAGAAAAAGAAAAAAAAGAGGAAGAGGAGGGAACTGCTATTTAGCGTGCCTGGCGCACTCCGACAGGTGCCCTGCGCCGCTCTCGCCGCGGCGGCGCCCGCGGCGGCGCCCGCGGCGGCGGCCGCGGAGGCGGCCGCGGCGGCGGCCCCGGCGGCACTCCGAGAGGCATCCAGCAAGGCGCCTCAGCGCCGCGCGAGCGCGCGAGCCGAGGCGCCGCCCTACGGGGCGAGGTCGGCGCGCCCCGCGGGGCGGCGACGCCCTTGGAGGCCGCGCCGCGCTCGTCGTGGCGCTCGGCATCGTTGTCGCGGTGGTGGCGTTGGTGCGTCGGGCACTGCTTCGGAAGAGAGGCGATCGATTCGCCATCGCTCGGACGTCGACTCCCCGCGCCAGGTGTGTTCGGTTCCGCGCGTGCTCCCCTCGCAGGAGGACCCCGAATGATGCCAGTTGCTCCTCGATGGTCCTCGCCGAGAGAAAAGACGCACACGTCCGAGCGATGCCAAGGCCCTGCTTCAGGTGGGGGCGCGATACATAGACGAGCGCTGTCCACTCCTCGCAAACAAAAACAACCAGTCGCCAGCGGGGGATCTAAGATCCATCACCCCGAGGCAACATGTGTTTTTCAGACGTTTGCGAGTAGGCACTCTACGAGTACCGTAGGGGCTCGACCACAAGAAACCTTCCACAAGAAACCCAACCCTGAGACCCCAGGACGTCCATGGCTTTCTGGCGTGGGAACGTCGCGCTCGCAGAACCGCCGCATCCCAAGAAACCCAGGGCAACCTGGAGGCAAGCAGGGTGTTTCTTGGAATGGGCCTCCACTGCCTGCGAGCAGTGGAGCGCGCTCGGTGAGGCAGTGCGGGGAGAAGGAGCACGGAACGGAGACCGGCGCAGGGCTCCGCAGAGGGAGCTGGCGGGAGGGCTGGGGCCAGCTCGGATGTTGATGTAGTCGCCCTTCAGACAGGCCCTCCTCCTCCTTATTCTCCTCCTCCTCCTCCTCCTCCTCTCCTCCTCCTACCTCCCCTCCTCCTCCCTCCTCCCCTCCGCCTCCTGCCTCCCCCTCCTCCGCCTCCTCCTCCCCGATCCCTCCTCCTCCTCCTCCCCTCCTCCTCCTCCTCCTCCCCTCCTCTCCTCCTCCCTACTCTACTCCTACATCCTACTCCTACTCCTACTCCGACTCCTCCCCCGATCCTCCTCCTCCTCCTCGTCCTCCTCCTCCTACCTCCTTCCCCCGCCTCCTCCTCCTCCTCCTCCTCCTCCTCCTCCACGTCCTCGTCCTCGTTTTACTCCTCCTCCTCCTCCTCCTCCTCCTCCTCCTCCTCCTCCTCCTCCTCCTCCTCCTCCTCCTCCTCCCACCTCCTCTCCCCTCTCCTCCTCCTCCTCCTCCTCCTCCTCCTCCTCCTCCTCCTCCTCCTCCCCTCCTCCCCCTCCCCCTCTCCCCCTCCTCCCCCTCCTCCCCCTCCTCCATCCGTCCTCCTCCTCCTCCTCCTCCTCCTCCGCCTCCTCCTCCTCCTCCGATACCTCTGATTCCGCACTGGGGGGAGAAACGTGCATAGGTGACGGCATTCCAACCGTACCCCCACCAACCATCGACTCCCATGAACCGATGGAGGGCGGGGGCAGGGCTCGGATTCCGCCACGCGTTCGTCGGACTCCGAACCCTGCCCCCGCCCGCCCATCGAGCTGCCTGAATCGTTGATCGGCGAGGGTAGGGTTGGGTCGGGCAAGTCCCCCTATAGGCGGATGTTTGAGGAAAAAACAAAAAGAGTCAAAAAGTACTCAGAGATAATCAAAAATAGACTATAAATCGTCCCCATACTATTTTTTGACTATTTGGGAATATTCCTCCTGTAGAGGGACAGGCCTAACTTAAGGCGAGAGTTCGGGTCTCGCCGCCCACACATCTCGTGCCCCTGTTGGGCCCGAACGGGCCCCTTTCTCAGGGCACAGGAGGTGCACCCTCCTTCACCCCCCCATCGACCGCTACCCCCCCCGTACGCAGCGCCCGAAATGTCGCCGGCGACGACGGAGGCGAATAGCCCAGGGATGAGCAGTACCCACCAGTCGGAAGAAGCGGGTAGAGACATGAAGTAGGAAGGCGTTGGAAGCAGCTTGGGCTTCCGCCCGCCCCATGAAGAGGAGGGAATAGGGAAAACCGCTCGACTCTTGAAGTGGGAAAGATAAGAAAAAAAAAAAGAAAAAAAAAAAAAACCGAAAAAAAAAAAAAAAAAAGAAGAAAAAAAAAAAAAAACAAAAAAAAAGGAAAAAAAAAAAAAAAAAAAAAAAAAAAAAAAGAAAAAAAAAAAAAAAAAAAAAAAAAGAAATAAAAATAAAAGAAAAAAACTAAAAAAAAAAAAAGAAAAAACGAAAAAAAAAAAAGAAAGTCCTCCTAAAGACAATTCGGATCTGGGGATCCAGAACTACAAACTTTCAACGACCGGGTTGTACGTCGTACGTGTATCTGATGATGGGCCTGGTTTCCACCACTACCACCACCACCATCATAAGTTGAGGGGGAGGAAGAGGAGGAGGAGGAGGAGGAGGAGGAGGAGGAGGAGGAGGAGGAGGAGGAGGAGGAGGACGAAGAGGAGAAGGGGGAGGAGGAGAAGGAGGTGGAGGAGGAGGAGGAGGAGGACCCCCTCCCCCTCCTACTTATGGTAGTGGTGGTGGAAAACATGCCCATCATCAGAAAGCGCCGATGGCCCATGCCTTCGGCATGGCTCCCTGGCGCACGCGTGCACTGCCCGCTCCCGGGCTCCTCGCCCCGCTTGTCGCCTCCTGTGGCGGCGAGGGTGGTGCGTGTCGTCCGACGCGCCAGCGCCCAGGGCGGAGGCCCCTGGCAGGAGGTGTCACCTGAGCGGCGGGGAGCAAATGCAGTCGCCCCGTGTCGTGAGGCCCCCCACGGCCTCCCAGAGCACCCAGGAGGCCCCCCAAGAGGTCCTCCAGAAGAGCCCGAAGAGAGGCCCAGGTCCGTCATGTCCCTTGGATGTCTGGAAGATGCTCGCCTTGGCCTCCTTTCGGCACGCCGAGGGCCCGAGACGCCCCAAAAGGCCTCCAGGATCGCCCCCAGAGCGCCCACGAGGCTTCCAAAGTAGCCAGACGGTCCAATACAGTCAGCCCGTATCATGAGGATGCGCGATAAGAATGCAAGGGCCTTGGGCGCCCATCTCGAAGCTTTTCGAGCGGGGCGCGGCCGACGGAAGCGGCGGAGGATGGACCGCGAAGGCAAGGATGCCGGGGTACCCTTGGGAAGGTGGCCCATCCTTACCATGCGGGCTGACTGCAGAAGGATAATCATGTAATGATGCGTACGATTGGCTCGAGACACGTTCAAGGGTTTCCAGAGCATCTGGCGGCCCTCGCTTCTGAAGTCCGTGCGGAGCACGAGGGAGTCTGGGAAACTCGGAAAGCGTGGGAATATTGGAACGTATCGATATCATGACCTCTCGATCCTCTGAGCAGGGGGCTTGTGCGCGCGGGCAGGCGGCGACCTCACGCAGTGGCACCGCCAGCGCGGCGCACCGAGGATCGAGGAGGGCGCATCGAGGCCCGAGGAGGAGGAGGAGCAGGAGGAGGAGCAAAAGGAGGGCTCGACGAGAGGATGGGTCGAGGAGGAAGGATCGAGCAGCGAGGATCGAGGGTGCTCGATCCATCCTCCCCGATGCTCGATGATCGAGGAATATCGAGGGCCGAGGATG